GGTGTGCAGGAGGCAGTTGGTCGATGTTTCTCTCTCATCGATGTTTCTGGCTCTTCCTTCCCCTTCCTCTCTGTAAAAATTCAATAAAATATATTAAAAAAACACACACCTGTATTACACAGTGTACATTTCAAGTTTTCATTATTTTCATTGATATAGGTGCATTGACTGTGAATATTGTATTTAAGGGAATAAACTAGGCCTGTGGTCGGCAAACTGCGGCTCAAGAGCCACATGCAGCTCTTTGGCCCCTTGAGTGTGGCTCTTCCACAAAATACCATGGCCTGGGGAGTCTATTTTGAAGTCTATTACAAGAAGTTTAAGTTTAAAAAATTTGGCTCGCAAAAGAAATTTTGATCGTTGTACTGTTGATATTTGACTGTGTTGACTAATGAGTTTGCCGACCACTGAACTAAGTTATCTGTCTCTTGTATGGGATCAGTGGGAAATTTAAATGTAAAGGTGTAATTTGAAGTCCTGCCAAGATCTTTAAAATTGACTCTTATATAAATACTGATTGCTTCAGATTTTTTTCTCTTAGTTTTCCTCGTCCTTTTAAACATATTTCATTTCCTCTTTTTCTGGAAGCTGGAGATTTTTGGAAGAAAAGCTAAAAAGAATAGATAAATTAAAAGCTATGGGATCTTAGCCTTCTTATATCTGGAAAAAAACTTGTATTTAAAACTGAGTTGTGAGCCCTGGCTGGGTGGCTCCGTTGGTTGGAGCGTCATCTGGTACACCAAAAAGGTTGTGGATTCAATTCCAGGTCAGGGCACACCACCCAGGTTGCAAGTTCAATCCCTGGTTAGGGCGTATAAGGGAGGCTATCAATTGATGTTTTCTCACATTTATGTTTTTCTCTTTCTCCCTTTTTCTCTCTCTGAAGATTATTAAAACTTTGGCCAGTGTGGTTCAGTTGGCTGTGTATAGTCATATCTCCTTCAATTTCCAGTCAGGGCACATGCCCAGGTTGTGGGCTCTATCTCCAGTAGAGGGTTGCAGGAGGCAACTGATCATATCAGATGTTTCACTCACATCTCTGTTTTTCTATCCCTCACTTTCTAAAAATCAATACAAAATATTTTGAAAAATCAATAAAGAAGTATCCTTGGGGGAGGATTAAAAAAATACACCTAAATGTGAGAAGCATCTTATGTAATTAAAAAAAAAAATCCTGCTTCTGTCTTGAACTCTTTTTCATTTGTAGGTATTGTCAGATTGAGACTTTCAAATGATTTCCAGGGTATCTCTCCCCTTGCCCTTTGTTAGAACTTGTTCATTTCATCTCAGTATTTGTGTTTGTCTTCCTGGATGGACTGAAGCAAGGAATGAGTTAGATTTCTTATTTCTAATTTCCAGCACAGTGCCTTAATGAGAGTACTAATGGTTTGTTGAATGAATGAATGTGAAATTTAAAAACAAACTCTGCCACTCTCAGAGAAGTAAAGGGAAGATTGGGGATGGGAAGTGAAAGACAGATTGGTCTTTAGTCTTGTTCGGTGTAATACCAGAGTGAAACTTAAAACTCGTGGGTCAGAGTTAAAATGAACAAGTTTTATTTCAAGATAAGGAAAACCTTTTGACAATTCAGCTTCAAGAGGAATTTGTTTTCTTGAATTGTTGGGAATAATTTGATCATCTTTATTTATTCACTGCCTTGCTTCCACACTCGTGTATTTTAAAGGAAGGTCTCTGGAGTACCCGGGGCAAGGGAGTTGTGAGATAAAAGTATTAATACAACTCTGGCCGGTTTTTCTCAATTATTAGAGCGACTGCTCACTGACAGAGGGTTATGGGTTCAATTCCTGGTCAAGGACATGTACGGGAGGTGACCAGTTCATGTGTGTCTCTCTCATGTCGATGTTTCTCTCTCTTTCTCTTGTTCTCTCTCTCTTTCTTCCCCTCCTCCGTACCCTCTACTCTCTCTAAAACTCAATGGAAAAGATATCCTCAGGTGAGGATTTTTTTTTTTTAAAGTATTCAGAAATCAAGCAGATCTGGGCTTTTATTCTGGGGCCTGACACTTGTACCTTAGTCAAATTGCTTTAAGCCTAAATTTGTAATAATACAGTTATTAATAACTTCTAACTGTATAGTCCTTATTTTTTATACTAGCCCTGTACTCATTAACCTTCTCATGCAACTACCTGCAAGTAGGTACTATTACCACAACCATCCCCATTTCTAGCAGCTCAGTGAGAGTGTTCAGTGCCACTCTGCCTTTCTTGTTTGGCATCACATTTTTACATAGTCTGGGAAGCTAAACTATTTACTAATTTGAGTATTACTTGGTATGCATGAGGTCAGAGGTAAAAAGATAATTTGTTGTGATAATTTGTTGAGGCAAGCCAAAATGAGGACTTCTACTGATGGGGTTTATTTCTATCTGATTTGATATCTTACTTTCCTGGATATTATTACCTAATAATATCTTATTAGGTAAAGCCAGTCAAACCTCTGACTCCCTTTCCTAGCTTCTTTAATTATAACTATCAACTATTCCTGACTTAGTTTTGTTGTTGTTAATCCTCACTTGAGGATATTTTTCTATTGATTTTTAGAGAGAAAGAGAGAAGGAAGGAAGAGGGGAGAGAAACATTGTTGTGCCTCACATTAATTGGTTGCCTCCCACATGTGCCTTGACTGAGGCTGGAGATCAAACCTGCAATCCAGTAGGTGCCTTTGACCGGGAATCAAACCCAAGACCCTTAGGTGTATGGCTGATGCTCTAACTATTGAGCATACCTGCCAGGGCATTCCTGACTTAGTTTGTGTAAATATTTGGCCTTTGGAATGGGCTTGATGGATAGCTCATCCTCACATAACACTTTTTTTTTTTTCCTTACGGATAATTTCTGTTGCGATAAACTATAAATTTAGGTAAGTGTTTATGAGGACAAGAACAGTCACCTACAGCCTGTTTTTTTCTTCCAGTTTTCCCCCCCTTATGCACATGAGATTTAATGTGAGCTCGAAGTGGTATAATTTGCATCCTGCCTTTTCATGTAATATATTGCAAGCAGATTCTTTCTAAGATGTGATGTTATTACACATCAGATATAAGGATCCACTTCTGTGATTTTTCCACATTCATCCATTGTAAAGATTGTGCTCCTATGAGGCAGATTGGGCATTATAGGCTGTAGAGATCTAAAGTTTAGTGGGAGAGCCCTAGCTGGTTTGGCTCAGTAGTGGATAGAGCATTGACTTGTGGACCAAAGGGTCCCAGGTTTCATTCCAGTCAAGGGCTCTTCCCAGGCCCGGGTTCTGGTCGGAGCCTGTGCAGGAGGCAACCAATTGATGTTTCTCTCACATTGATATTTTTTTCTATCTTTCCCTTTTCCACTCTCTCTAGAAATCAATGGGAAAAATATCCTCAGGTGAAGATTAAAAAAAAAAAAAGTTCATTGGAAGAGAATTTTGTTTGGGGTAGCTTGCTTTATGGAGGTGGCCTGCTCAAATTCCCTGAGAGCTCAAGGGTGTCTCCATCTCTATCAAAATCACCACTAGTCCCTAAAGATAGGTTTTACTCCTAGAAAATGATCATCAAACCCAGTACCAAAAAGAATTACTTAGGAAAATATAAATTGTCAGAATGGCAAATAAGAAGTAGAAAATATAAATAGATCAAAGAAAGTATAAATAGGTCTTTCTTGTCCAGCCTTCCAAAAGTAAGGCCAGAAATCAATGCATCAGTTTTTGTTTGCTTCATTTATTTTTAAGAATATATATATTTTATTGATTTTTTTTTATAAAGAGGAAGGGCAAGGGAAAGAGAGTTAGAAACATCGATGAGAGAGAAACATCAATCAGCTGCCTTCTGTACACTCCCTGCTGGGTATGTGCCCACAACTAAGGTACATGCCCTTGACCAGAATAGAACCTGGGACCCTTTAGTCCACAGGCTGACCCTTTATCCACTGAGGCGAAATGGTTAGGGCTGTTTGCTTCATTTGTAGCTCTTAACATTCATAGCAGTTACAGCTTGCAGTTTTCATTTATCTGTGTTTTAAAAACATAATTTTTGTCATTGAATTCAGAGAGGAAGGGGAGGAAGAGAGAGAGACATCAATGATAAGAATCATTAAAAATACATTTTATTTCAGAGAGGAAAGGAGAAGGGGGAGAGAGAGAGAAACAGCAATGATGTGAGAGAATCATTGATTGGCTGCCTCCTGAATGCCCCTTACCTGGGATTGAGCCCGAAATCAGAGCATGTACTCTGACCTGGAATTTCCTGGCTCATAGGTCGAGACTCAACCACTGGGCCTCACTGGCTAGGTTCGTTATCTGTTTTCTGGCTACATTTTTGTCCTCCTCCAATGGGTTGAAGGCCTCATGAGGGCAGGCACTCTTGTCTCTGTCTTTTTTTTTTTTTTTGTTTTTTACAATTTTTACTGATTTCAGAGAGGAAGGGAGAGGGAGAGCTAGAAACATCAATGAGAGAAAATCATTGATTGGCTGCCTCCTGCACGCCCCCTAGTGGGGACTGAGCCAGCAACCCAGGCATATGCCCTTGACCTGAATGAAACCTGTGACCCTTCAGTCTGCAGGCCCAAGCTCTATCCACTGAGCCAAGCCGGCTAGGGCTGTCTCTCAGTCTTGACTGTTTTCCTAAATAGTCTGTGCAGATATTTGTTGACTGTATCAGCAAGTGGTTAAATTTAAATAATTAAATAAGTTGCCTGAGAGCAACTAATTGCTTTCTTGGAGTTCTGAGAGATGCCCTTTTAAATGTAAATCCTTTCTCTTCACAGTTCCAGAGATTACAAGGTACTGCCTAAAAGAGGAGGAACCAGTGGAGGGCACACTATGTTAGGATGAGGGAAGGAGTGAAAGGGGGGCAGACAGGGTTTCCTGGAGCTTTGTGTTCTGAATAATGCCTGTTTGTCCTTTATGTGTAGTGAGTGATACTACACTCTGGCACACTTTGCCTAAGTTTCATAAATATTTAATTGGCTTTTTCAGGAGAACAAAGGCAGCCCCGTTGATGACTGAAAATGACAAAGCATCCACCTAACAGACGAGGAATCAGCTTTGAAGTGGGAGCCCAGTTGGAAGCCCGGGACCGATTAAAAAACTGGTATTTTTACATTTTTTTGTTAATTAAATCCTTTCAGTGAAGAACTTTTGCTAGCACTGATAACGAGGGGTAGCCTGGGCTTTTCTGTAGTGTTTTCCGGCTCCCTGACTCTTGGAAGGGGACAAGTCTAGAGCCATGGGAATGTCCTTTCTCTTTGGTGCAAGGTCCCCTGTGTTAGGGAGACCATTCTGTTATCTCTTGTTTTTAAAAAAATTAATTTCTTCTATTAATTTATTGATTTGAGAGAGAGAGAGAAACATTGATTTGTTGTTCCACTTATTTATACATTCATTGATTGACTCTTGTATGTTCAGGGGTCGAACCTGCAACCTTGGGATATGAGACAGCACTCTAACCAACTGAGCTACCCAGCCAGGGTTGTGACCTCTTGTTCATACTTGTTTACCCTTTCTGCCTCTTCATCTGAAAAGAGTTATGAGAAAAAGAGGAATGAGTGGCTATCAGGAAGGGAAGAGTTAATAGTGGTAGCTCTTTTGCTCGCCACGGCTGCCTGTCTGGAAGAGGAGAAGAGAGAAAAGCCAGGAATGGAAGAGGGAAGAAAAGGGTTAGATCAGAACAGGTCTTGTGTTGTGAACAACCCCTGCTGTTTTCTGGGTGTGTTGTATGGTTGAAATTTAATTGTCATAATTTAGGGGTGATTAGATTCAGAAGCTGAGGGGTTGTATTCTTTGTCATTGATGTCTGACCTCTGGCTGGTAATTAGCTGCTTTGAGCATCAGCTTCATCTATAATTGTGGGTAATAGTTATATTGACCTCACAGAGTTTTATCTGAGAATCAAATTATGGAATATGTAGGGAAAGTCCTTATAAAGTATAAAATGACAATGGTTGTTGAGGACATTCTAGAATTTCCTAGAATGTGAAGGTAGGGATTTCAGAACTCAAACCTTTCTGAGTTAAAAAAAATTTTTTTTTAAAGGAAAATTTGCTATTTTCCCCCCTCTGCTGATTAAAAAATAATATTTTTATTGATTTTAGAGAGAGAGGAAGGAGAGGTAGAGAAAGATGGAAACGTTGATGAGAGAGAAACATCGATCTGCTGTCTTCTACATGCCCCTGATTGCGGAATCGAACTTGCAACCTCTTGGTGCATGGGTCAACACCCTACCACTGAGTCACACTGGCTGGATCCTTTCTGATTTTTTATAAGGAAGAGTGTAGGCCTCCCTCTGTGGGCCTCCCTCTTTAAAAAAAAAAAATATGTGTGTGTGTGTATATATATATATATATATATATATATATATATATATATTCATTCTTAGTGATTTCAGAGAGGAAGGGAAAGGGGGAGAGAGAGAGAAACATTAATGATGAGAGAGAATCATTGATAAGCTGCCTCCAGCATGCGCCCCCCCCCTCCCCCAACCCCTCACCCCCTTACCCACTGGGGATTTGAGCCGGCAACCTGGGCATGTACCCTGTCCAGGAATTGAACCATGACCTTCTGGTTAATAGATTGATGATCAACCACTGAGAGATACTGATGCCAGGCTGTAATTTATATTTTTGCCTTTCTTTTATATTGAAAATCTTTGTTCCTAATCACACTAATAGATTGACCTGTTTGACTTATTCTGTGTTGTACACAAAAATAATTTCAAAGTTAAATACTAATATTACTACTAACAAATCTACTGCATGAGGTTGATGATTTTCTTGGCATTAAAAAAATAAAGATGCATCTAAGGATAAAATATTTAATTTGTAACAAATTTTTATATTTAATTTATGTTAAATAGTATTTCAAGGTAAGTAATGTGAGTTTCTTTTTAATACTTTTACAGTATATTTTTATTTCTACTTTTTAAAAAACATATTTTTATTGATTTCAGAGAGAAGGGAGAGGGAGAGAGAGAGATAGAAACATCAATGATGAGAGAGAATTATCCATCTGTTGCCTCCTGCACACCCCACACTGCGGATTGAGCTGCAACCTGGGCATGTGCCCCAATGGGAAATCTAACTCATGACCTCCTGGTTCATAGGTCAATGCTCAACCACTATCCATGTCCTCTAAGCTCTACTTTTTTAAAGACAGATTTCTGGCCGAAACTGGTTTGGCTCAATGGTAGAGCGTCGGTCTGCGGACTAAAAGGTCCTGGGTTCGATTTCGGTCAAGGGCATGTACATTGGTTGCGGGCACATCCCCGGTAGGGGGTGTGCAAAAGGCAGCTGGTCGATGTTTCTCTCTCATCGATGTTTCTAGCTCTCTATCTCTCTCCCTTCCTCTCTGTAAAAAATGAATAAAATATATGTATACAAAAAATAAAAATAAAATAAAAACAGATTTCTGGGTTCAATATGGGGCACAGAAGCTACATATTTTTATTTTTATTTATTTATTTTTAAAATATGTTTTTATATGTTTTAGAAAGAGAGGAGTGGAGAGGGAGAGAGAGAGAAGGAGAGAGGGAGAGAGAGAAAGAGAGAGAGAGTGAAGCATTGATGGGCTGCCTTCTGCGACCCTCCACTGGCATGGAGGTCCAAATCCTGGTATGTGCCCTGATTGGGAATCAAACTGAGGACCTCTGAGTGCATGGGATAATGCTCAACTAATTGAGCCACACTGGCCAGGGCTACATTTAACATAATTTTTAATATACATATAGTAACATTTCCCCTTTTTTTTGATGTACACACGAGTTTTAAGTGTGTACATCATATGTAGATTCATATAAGCATATGTAGATTGGTATAAGCATCAACACTAATAGGAGATAGAACACTTCAAAGAATTATCTCATGCTATACCTTTTCCAGTTTATAAATTAGTTTATTTGATTGTTTTTTTGTACTTGTTTATCTGTCTTCCCCACAAAAATGCAGGCTTAGTGAGGGCTAATCTGTTAGATTGGATTCTCCCAAGAAACTATGCAATTGATTTATTTGGGAACCACCTATAGGAGGAAGTGGGGAGTGAAGTGAAGAGGCTGGGAGAGCTATCAGATTGCCTTGCCTAGTCTGACCCCTGTAGAGAAGAGAGAAGGAGGTAGGAAGTTTTAGATAGCAGTGCAATTCTCAGAAAATTTTGTCACAGGAGATTAGGAGAGTCCTCAAGCTGAAATGCAATAATTGAACTGGAAGGCATGATGTTCCTCTGGGCAGGATGATTCTCAGGTCCTTGTCCAGTGGAGTCAAGAATGAAACCACGGACAAAAGGTGTTATAATGAAATATGGAAATTTATTCAGAAACAAGCAAAGACTCCCACGTGGGGAGAGGGAGAGAGTGTCCCTTTTATGCATGGTTTATAAAGGCAGTTCTTTTTGCCCTGACATCCCACCTCTGATTGGTCACTCCCTCTGATTTGGTCACTATAGCGACTTCAGAGCTCACACCTCATGTGAGGTACGTGAGGTTCTCCTTTTCTCCTTTATTATTTTTCTATTCCCTTTGGGCTTTCCTCTAACCTCTCTGAATGAGGGGCTTCCTTCCCTTTATTCTGTAAATGTATACCTTCTGCAGCTCTCAGCTCCCTTATTCTATGGAAATATATCTTCTGAAGTTCTGTAGCCCTCTGTTTTTTTTTTTTTATGGACTCCTTAATTCCTTAAATTTCCTAAAACCTGCCTATTTTACCCTTAAACACCCCTTTCAAACCCAAAGTTATCAAGAGTATTGTCTCCCAGAAAGTCTTGTCTTAGTATTTCTTCTTAACCATTGGCTAGGAGAAGTGTGGAGAAGGCACAGAGATGGTGATTGGTTTAGAGGTGTTACAACTGCAATCAAGGTACTAGCTACTTGATAAGGATGTAATAGGTGTATTTTTTTCTCCTCTAAGTTTTATTTAAATTCTGCTATTTATAAATCACTGTTATACATCTAAGGAATTGTATAGAAAGTGTATTTCTGTTCTTAAAGAATTCCCCATAGCTCTGCTCTCCCTGATTCCCCACCCCAACCAATGCCCTTACCTCCTGCCACTGTCTTCATCCATAGGTGTAAGATCTTTGTCTAATCTCATCCCACACCCCTCAAACCCCCTTCCCCCTGAGAATTGTCAGTCCACTCCCTTTCTATGTCTCTGATTCTATTATATTCACAAGTCCATTCTGTTCTTCAGACTTTTTATTCACTTGATTTTTAGATTCACTTGTTGGTAGTTATGTATTTGATGTCTTTTTGTTGTTCATAATTTTTATGTTTACTTTTTTCTTCTCTTCTTAAAGAATACTCTTTAGCATTTCATGTAAATGAAAGGGAGTTTGTAATATATAGGGAGTTTGTAATATATAAATTTGGGAATTTGTAATATATAAATTTGGATTTTCCATGGAGATCATTAGTTCTCAAAGTAGTTTATCTCACCAAACATACTGTGGATAGTGATAAGAATCTGTCCTTTAATTTTGGACCTACCACTTTGGGGGAACTTTCTATATGTCCTCTTCTTACTCTATAGGCAGAGTAATCCTGTCTGCACTCTTTTTTTTTTTTTTTTTTAAATTATTGATTTTTTACAGAGAGGAAGGGAGAGGGATAGAGAGCTAGAAACGTCTTGCATACTCCCTACTGGGGATATGCCCGCAACCAATGTACATGACCAGAATCGAACCACTGAGCCAAACCAGTTTCGGCCCTGCCTGCACTCTTTATCTCCAGGGTTCTGTAGGTGCACTGTCTAACATGTGAGAAGCTACAGTTTCCTATTAATGATGCTTGATGAATAGAATGGAAGCTGCTTGTTCTGGGGCCTTCTTTGCCTCCTTCCTGCCATCTGTCAGGAGCACACTGTCTGCCCTGAACAGTAAACCTGGCCTTCCCTGTTGATCTGAACATATTTTGTCTTTTGCTTTCCTGACACTTTGGAACATTTCAACTACTTTGTTTCTTTTTAAGTAGATCATAATGGCTTTCTATTTCAAAGGGATTTTTAAATCTGTTTCATAATGTCCTTAGCTCTCTTTTCTATTTCTTTTTCATTAGGATTATTTGCACTGATCAAGTCTGAGTTCCTGGGTCATATTTTTTCATTTCTT